CCGCCGCCGCCGCCGCGCCCCACCTGCTGGCCGCCAGCATCCTGGCCGACCTGCGCAGCGGGCCCGGCGCCGCCCCGGGGGGCGCCTCGCCCGCCTCCTCCTCCTCGGCCGCCTCGTCCCCGTCCTCTGGCCGCGCCCCCGGCGCCGCGCCCGCCGCCGCCAAGAGCCACCGCTGTCCCTTCCCAGGCTGCGCCAAGGCGTACTACAAGTCCTCACACCTCAAGTCGCACCTGCGGACGCACACAGGTGAGCCCTGTCGTCCCGGCCCGCGCGCGCGGTCTCCTGCGCCCCTTCCCCCTCCGGGACCCCCAAAACTGCGTGGCGCGTGGGGGGCGGGGAGGGGGGCGCGCCCGGGCGGCTGCTGCTGCCGCCGCCGCCGCCGCGCCGGCCGGGAGGGCGGGGCCTCGGTGGGTGGGGCGCGCGCAGGGGGCGTGGCGGCCACGCGGTCGGGCGGCGCGCGGTTGGCGGGCGAGAGCGTGGCCGCTGCAGGGGCTCGCGGGGCGCGCGGCGCGACGGGGTCCGTGGGCGGAATCGGGGCTCCCGGACCATCCCCTCCCCCGTCGGCCCGGTTCCCCTCTATTTCCTTTCGCGTTCGCGTCTGGGGTGTGGATGCCGTGGCTGGAGCATGCTGCTCTGGCTGTCCTGTCTTCCCGTTCTTTGCCTCGGTTTCCCTATCTGTAGAGAGGGAGGTGGCAGCGACGAATCACCCCAGAGGGCAGTAGAGCAGCTGGCGTGGGGGCCGGGGTGGGGGGGCGCCCCACACGTTTATTTTCCCCCCTCGTGAGTTTTAATAAGGCGGCGGGGGTTGCTGAGAGCGCGGGTTGAGGCCTGAGTCTGGATGCGGGAGTGGGGGGCGGATTTGAGAGGGGGAACCTCGAGGGCGTCAGGTCCTCACGCGTGTTACGCGTTAGGTGGCAGGGATGGGGTGAGGGGTCAGTGACACTTGTCACCTCTCGCTTCCCACCTGACAGTGAGGGGACAGCTGGGGGAATCTGAGGGAGCGTCACACTCATCACCTTTTCACCGTCTCCCTTGTCCCCCTGGGGTCCCCCACCCTCCACCCCGAGAATGCGCTTGTCCAAGCTGGGAGTTTGGGTTGGGGGTCGGGGAAGGTGGGTGTTGGAAGCTGGCCTGGGCTTGAGTATTGAGCGGGGGTCCTCCTGCCCTGGGGGAAGGGGGGCATCTGGGTACTGGCGTGAGAACGCACTTGGATTCCGGCTCTGCTTCTTTCTAGCCCATGACCTATCCTGGGGTTCAGTGTTTTCACCCGTGTAAAGGGTGCGTGGAATTCCGCCTTTTCAGGGTCTCTGGGGGGGGTCTGGTGCAGCCAGGGCGCTGTGGACACACTCCCCTTGTGGAGAGGACACAGGAAAGCAGGGCTGGCCCTGTGGTATGGTGGGGTTGGGGTGCGGGGCAGCCACAGGCTCCTTGTGGGACCTCAGATGCCTGGTGCTCTCCTTCCTGCTTTTGGCGCTCCCCATCTCCTTTGCAGTCCCCATCCCTGCCCATGGGTACCTGGAGGCTCTGACCCGCTTATGAGCACAGGACAGATACCAGGGCCACCGGGCCAACGGGCAGGGTCTGCATTGACTCCTGGAGACACCCCACTTGCCTAGCAGCCGCTGGGTGTTAACCACACATTGAGGCAGTGAGGTCTGGGGGTCCCTGAAGATGGAGAGGTGCCTCTCTGGGGACCAGAGGGGACATTCCTCTCTGGATGTGGAGCTGGGGTCTGAGGAGGGCCCTGGCTCATCCTAAGTGAGTTGGCCTGTCTGGGCAGCCAGGATGTTGACATGGAGAGACTGTCTGGAGAGGGACCCCATTTTTCCCACTCTTGCGCTCCTACCCCTGTCCCGTTGTTGGATGGTGAGGCGCCAAGAGCCTTTTGGAACTCCCCCCCACCCCAGGGTACTGATTTGATTTATTTTATTTTCTGGGCCCTGTCCAGCTTCTGGGTCAGTGGGAGGCAGTGGCCAAGCCACCTCCCAGCACAGGTCCCAAGAGACAACTTCAGAACGGCCTGGAGTCCTTCGACCAGAAGCTCAGAGGCCCCAAGCAGTCAGTGGTGGTCGCCTCAAAGTCGGGGGACTCCTTGCTGGGCCAGGATGTCAGTATTGCTATCCTTGTTGTAAATGAGAACTCTAGGTTCCCGAGGCCCAGCAGGGGTGTGGCGAGTGTCCCAGTGGAGGGGGTAAGTAGTGGGTGGGGGGCGGGCAGGACGCCATCCTTCACAAATCCTTAGCCCCCATGGGAGTGGTCCTGTCTCAAAGCCCTCCTTACAGTGCGGCGTGGGAGCCCAGAGGGTACGGCTCCTGGGCACGCTGTCTGCTCCTGAGGTTGGGAAAGCCTGACTCAGGGACCCTTGCTGTTCTGGTTTCTGAGGTTTCCGTCACCTGTGTGCCCGAGACTGCTCATTCACGGAGTCGTGTCCCCCCCCCCACCCCAAGAACCCTGGCTTCGTGGTTGCATAAGGGCCTGTGAGCTTTTTTGGCTCCTAGTCGAGGGGGGCGCTGCTGTTAACGCCTGGCTTGGGGGAGGGGAAGTCATGCTGGCCCTGGGTGTCCCCCGGCTAGCTTGGTGTTGCCTGTGGCCAGGAGTGGGCTTGGGGACCCATGTGATGAGGAGCAGTAACTAGAAGTCAGTGGGGCCGTCCCCTGGGAGAGAAGCCTGTCCTCCCCTGCCTTGCCCGAGGACCACTCTCTTTCTGTAAGGAGAATCCCAGTCCGGATCCAGCCCCATTCCACAGAGGAACAGACTGAGGGCCCGGGCAGGAGCCTGGCCAGAGTCCAGTGTCCCTGCTCCGCTTGGCACAGGAGGCGTGGAGGCCGGGGAGGGCCACCCAGCGGCAGGGGCAGGGCTGTCCTGTGGTCCCCTGGGTCTGGCCTGCAGCCCCGGCTTCGAGCTCTCTCTCCTACGTGGGGTGGGGAAGGACTTTGGAAGCTTCAAGAGAAGTTGACGCCGTTGCTATGGATACGGAGAGCGAGAGGAGCGAGGGGGCGGAGGCGGGAGGAGAGGCTGGCTGTCTACTCCTTGCTCTCCCAACCTCCATATCCGGACCGTTCCCCTGCCCCAGAGTCCCCGGTTCCACGCGGGCGCAAGCTCTGCTCCTGCTGGATTCTCAGGCCCCCCCCAGCAAGAGGGAGCTCAGACCGGGGAGTGGAGCTTCTCGGCCAAGGCTGGATCCCCAGGGGGCCACAGACACCACTCTGGGTGCTTGTCCAGGGCACCCTGGGGGGTCTCAGCAGGATCCCTGGCCTCACCCACTCGATGACAGAAACTCGTATCCCCTGGGGTAGTTGCAGGATCACTCCCAGGTGAGATCCCCTGTTTTACTCTAAAACCCTGTCTCAAGTCAGGAATGGTAGGTGAGCGTTGAGCACGTGCGGTTCTGTGGGGCCCTCCCCGTCCCTGTGCCCTGACACCCTGGACCCTTGGGGAGGGGGGTAGTGGCCACAGCCATGCAGGAAGAGGTCTCTCTGCTGATACCTTGGGGTCCTGTGGGGCAGAAAGGGGTGTGTCCCAGGAGCAGGATGTCTCCTGGCTGCAGGGCATGGGGACAGGGGCCCTGGGGCAGGAGGTGTGAGGTGGGGAGGGTCAGGGCAGGTGAAGGCTTCTGGTTTAATCCCAAGGGCAGGGGATGGAGAGTGTCCAGGAAGGCAGGCCCGGCTTTGCAGAGGAAAATCCGTTTACGGAGCTGGGATTAGGGTCCCGGGAGAGGGGTTGAGGAGGGCAGGCTGCCCGCCTGGGAGCGAGAGGGGTGGGCCAGCCCACAGACCGGGTGCAGGTGAGAAGCGCCTGGACTTGGAGAGTCAGAGGTGGCCGGGGTGGACCCCAGTTATGCTGAGTAGCCCAAGGAGGGGGCAGGGTGGGGGTGGTGGTATTCTTGGCTGAAGAGGCCCCCAGGGCAGAGGCAGATGGGGACACTGAGGCCCAGAGGGGAAGTAGCCACCATCCTCCAGGGGCCGAGTGGACAGCAGACCCTACTCCCCTACCCACCTCCCCTGGGCAGAGTGCCTTTGAGGACAGGTGGGGCTCGGGAGACTGGCGGCTTACGGTGGGGGAAGTGGCCGGGGAGCTCCCCCTAGCTCCCTCCTCCACACATGCAGAGAGCAGCTGGAACTGGGGAGTGGGGGAGGGCCCCCAACATTGCAGGGGGCGATAACCGCCCCCCACCCAGGCTCCCTGATAAAGGTCGCCCAGATGGCCCGGGAGCTGGTACGTGATACCAGTGTGAGAAGCCGGCCTCCCTCTGAAGGGGCCGCCCTGACTTAAACCTCCGCCCAGTGCCGTCCCAGAACAGTGGGTCTCCCGACCACACATGCTGGGGGGGCTGTGGGAGCTGTTACTGCTCACCTCCTGGGCCAAAGAGGCCTGTCTGGGTGGGAAGCGAGCCGTGCCATGTGGGTCTGCAGGGAGGAAGGAGGGGTGAGGGGCTGCAGCAGCTGTAGTGCCTTGGTTGGAGGCGTGGGGGGCGGACAAGATGGCGAACACCCCGTCAGCCGCTGCTGCACCCGAGCTTGGCCCTCTGGCCCCCGAGCTCCACACAGATGCATGGAGTGCCCACGGTGGGCCAGGCCTGTGCCCTCCACTTGGCAGTCAGGTGAAGGGGCAGGTCTCACACCTGGGAGAAGCCAAGAAAGGGGACAGTGGAGTGCACCCCTGGGGTAAGGAGAGGCCGATCTTAGGTGTGATGGTACACACAGAAGGGGCAGAGTGACAGGGGAGTCTAGACAGCCAGAACACGGTGTGTGAGGACTGAAGAAGTCGAGGGAGGGTGAGGGGTCAAGGTAAACCTTTTTGGATTTGATCTTGGGTCAGGGAGTAGTAGTTCTGGGAGTTGAAAGGCAGAGCACAGACTAGGTGGCTCAGCCCCAAGCTGATGTGCTACTGCACCAGTCCAGGCAAGAGCTGGGTGCACAGTCAGTATGGGTTCTGGAGATATTCTGAAGGGGTTACTGATGGGATTTCCTACCAGTTACCAAGCAGGCCAGGGATGGAGATGGCCTGTCTCCACCTTTGGTGGCAACCACACTATGATTGAAAGGGGGAAACCTACAGGAGGAGTGGGGATGTGGGGGTGGGTAGGTGGTAAGTCTTGTGTTTGGGGGGCAGGGCCCAGGGGGCGCCTGGCCGGTTGCTCATTGGGGCATGTGACTCTTGATCTCAGGGTTTGAGTTCGTGCCCCACTTTGGGTGAGGAGATTACGCAGGGGGACTCTCTACAGCCATCCTAGGAGCTTGCTGGAGGCGGACCCCAGGCCCTGCTCTCCAGACCTCCCCATCAGTGCCCCCCTTCTGCTGCACCTCCACAGCTGTTCTTTGGGTTCTTTCTGGAATCCCGGGGTGGGGGTGGGGGCTTCAGGAAGCCCCTGGTGTGCTCCCTGCTGCCTGCTGCAGCCCAGCCCTCTGGAGCTCTCCAGAAATTCTCTCCCACCTGGCCCATCCCCACTGTGTGTGCTGGGTAGGTGGGCATTTGTGCAAGGGTCAGCTGCCGGACACAGCTCCCTCCCTACCCGAGGGATGAGCTCAGAAGGTCATGGCGAAGGTTAGTTGTAGGAGCTGGGTCCTTGGCCCTGTCCAGGAAGGCCAGGCAGGCCAAGCGGTGCTGCTTGGCTCCGGTACCACCTTCCCGGTTGCCTCTTTATCAGGTCTCCAGGACCTCTTGGCCTCCATTTTTTCTGAGCCAGCATGGCACTGTGGTGACTGCAACTGTCCCCAGGTCACCCCAGCCCAAGTCAAAAGGTCGTGTCCACAGGGCCCCGCCCACCGCATCTCCTCCAGCCCAGGTTCCAGTCTGCTCTGGGGCAGCGGGAGGTGGCACCTGCGGCCCCCGCTGGCTCTGAGTCTCCTAAGTGCACCCCCCTCCCCGCCCTGGCTAGTGGACTGTGGGAGGGTGACAGGGCCTGGTATCTTGCAGGCATTCGCCTGACGTTGTGGGGGCGGGAAGCCTGCGCACCCGGTCCCGCCACCCACGTGTGCACGTGAGTTCCCCAGCAATTGGGTGTGGGGCGGGGCTGGCAGGCGTCCAGCCGGCGAGTCGACCCCAGCCCCACCGCCTCCGCCCTAGCGGGAGCGGGGACCACGTGAGCGAGGCCGCCGGCTGGGCTGCGGATGGCCCTGCCGCCACCAAGCTACGTGCGGCAGCTGTGTTCCCGGCGGCTGCACGCGTCCTGCCCCAGTGCGCGCTGGCACGGCTCTTGCAACCTGCTCGTTGCAAAGTGGAACTGAGGGGAGGCGGGTGCCAGTCCCGCCGCCCGCCCGAAATGGGGAAGTGAGCCAACTGCGGGGCGCGCCAGCAGCGGGATGGCCCCCCCTTCCCTTCTGCTTTTCCCCGCCTGCGCTCTGCAAGATGGCGACAGGACTGCATGCCCCTCGGAGGGGGCTCCCCCGGGCACCAGGACTGGCCTAGAGCCAGCAGCCCCGCCCCCGAAACCCGACTCCCCTCCCGCAGACTGCAGCCCTGGGGGACTGTCAGGTCCCAGCACTTCCACCACCCGGGTGGGTCCGGGGTCCTTTCCCGGGCTGTTTTGAGCACCCCCCCCCCCCGGGGTTCTGTAGAGGATGGCCTTGCCGAGGTCCCTCCCCCTGCCTTTGGGATCGTCCCGGGGAGGAGTGCAGCCCCAGAAGTTTGCAGTCCGCGAGGTCTTGGGTACAGATGTGTAACGCCCCCTCTTCCCCCCGTGGTAGGTGACTAGCACACCTGGATTCACCGCCTTCTGGAACATGCCCTCCCACTGCTGGGAGAAACCCACAGATCTTCATGGGGGGACTTGCTGGACCCCACCGCCTCCTTTGGTCTTGGGGGCGGCCTGGAAGAAGGGGTGGGGGAGGGGAGGGTTTAGTTCTCCCCTGGGCCATGGGTGATGGCAGCAGCACCCTCCCTGCCTCTCCTGTCTCCTACCTAAGGACAGTCCCTTGGCTTTCAGAGCTGGGATGTCCCTGGCACACGCTGAGAATCCCCGCCCTGCTCCCCCCACAGCTTCCTGCTCGCTCCCGGTTTCCTCTGCCCTCGGCCACCATCTGCCCTGTTTGGGGGCCTTTCTCAGACCCCGGGCCAGGCACCCCCTTCTGGTGTGTTCCCTGAGTCACCACAGTGCCCAGCCTGGGCCTGACCCTGCGGTGGCCACCCAGAGTCCAGCCCTCTGCCTTTGCACCTGGAGCTCCATCCTGCCACAAAGGGTGTCACAGAGGGGTGTGGGCGTCACGGCTCACGTGCCCACATTCTGTCCATACCCGCACCACACACCCTCCAAAACTCCTGCGAAACAACTGCTGGGGAGTCCGGCCTCCAGGTACCCGGTGCAAGGGCGCAAGCTCCGGGTCCCTCAGGGCCCCCTCGGCCTGGGGCGTGGCGGGGGTCCAGGGGGACTCCCCTGTGGGATGGGGAGATGCTGACAACGCTCGCTGCGGATTGGGCTTAACCGAAGGGGGGCCGACACCGTAGGCAGGAGGGATGGGTGGCAACAGGCCCTTGGGGCTGGCTGCGGCTGGTCGGGGCAGGATGGGCGAGGCCAGCCTGGGAGGTGGGAGGGGTCTGCGGAGGAAGTTGCCTGGTGGCGGCCCTCCCCTCGCCTCCCCTCCCCGTCGGTTCCGCGGGGGCGGGGTAAGGCCGGTGGCCACCGCCTCCAAGCCCTCCCCTTCCCGGCAGCGCGGTGACCTGCCAGGGGCCCTCTCTGCCGGGGCCTTGTGCCCTTCCCCACCCTGGGCTCTGGGGCTGCAGGTGGCGCTGTGGTCCCTCCACATGGCCCGCTACCTCTTGAGAGGCCACAAGAGTCAGTGGGTGGGCCGGGCATGGGAACTCTCCCAGACGCCATCCCCCCAGCCCCCGACTTGGCGCCCCGAGTGGTCATTTTCAAAAGGAGAGGGTTACTGGGGGTCGCGAGCAGGAGGAGGAGAGCGGAGGTGGGGCGGGACCCACTGGCGGAGAGAGCAGCCCCTGCCGAGCACGGCGTGCCCCGGGGGCGGGCGCAGATCTGTCCCCAGGCGGTGGTGCGGCGGGGCGGGCCTGGCAGAGCTCGGCCTCCCCGGTTCTGCTTCGCACCCACCGAAACTGCTCGTGGAATTACTACAGGGTCCTGGGGAACAAAGGGCAGGAGAGTTCCTTAGGGGCTTCGTGAAATGAGTGGGGGTTTTCTTTACGTCCCCCCCAGAGTCCAGCCTCCAGAACCCGCGGGCGGCTGCGGCGGGGGGCGGGGAGGCACACGGCCCGGACCGCGCGGGGCCTGCCACGAGGGCCCCACCTGCCGTGTCCCCCCACCCCCACGCTGACCGCCGCCGTCTGTCCTCTGCCCCCTCTGCCCAGGCGAACGCCCCTTTGCCTGCGACTGGCCGGGCTGCGACAAGAAGTTCGCGCGCTCCGACGAGCTGGCCCGCCACCACCGGACGCACACCGGCGAGAAGCGCTTCCCCTGCCCGCTCTGCTCCAAGCGCTTCACCCGCAGCGACCACCTGACCAAGCACGCGCGCCGCCACCCTGGCTTCCGCCCGGAACTGCTCCGGCGCCCGGGCGCCCGCAGCACCTCGCCCAGCGACTCGCTGCCCTGCAGCCTGGCCGGCAGCCCCGCGCCCAGCCCCGCGCCCAGCCCGGCCCCCTCCGGCCTGTAGGGCCCTCTCCAGCCCGCCCTGCCGCACCCCTGCTGGGCCTGGGCACGGAGCACCAGCAAAACGCCTGCTGTCCACAGCCAGGGGCGGGCCACGGACCGACAGCCCCCGTCCCCGACGCCGGCCGGGGTGGGTGTGGCCCTCGGGAGCCGTGGCTGCGGCCCGCGTCTGTAAATAGCCATGTCGGATAATTCTCTTCCCACGTGTTACACAGGAACCCCTGGTGGGCGGCCAGCAGGCGCTCCCCTCCCCCCTTCACCACCTTCCTGCTTAGGAGAGGGTGAGTCTGGGGGGTGGGGGGCTGGTGAGCGGTCCAGGAAAGGTGCACCTAACCGGTGCTTGGACGCTGCCCTCCCCAGCCCCCCTCTCCAGGTTGGGATGATGTGTGCAAAGAGCCTTAGATGAACCAGGGGTTACCGCGGCACCCCTGCCCCCACCGCGCCCGGGGCCCCTCACCCCTCTGAAAGCCATTGGAGATGTTCAGGGAATTGGGGCGTGGCCCCAGCCACCCCCTTCCGGGTACTCAATCTCAGGTGTCCACAGGTTCTGCCCTGCCACCCAGCTCCCTGGCAGTGGGGGCGGGGGGGAGGGGGGGAAGGCAGTAGGGTCCAGGATTTGCTCCTAAGACTGGGGTGGGGAGGGAGAGAAACGGGTTCTTCCAAAGAGCATTTGACTCACATGGAGGGGAGGGGGTAACACGGCTGCGGCTGGGGCAAATGCCTCCTTATTTATTTTCCTCTGTCTCCGCTGGTGGGAAGGAGGGGGGCGGGGAGCTGTCCCCCTCTGGGTGGGTGTGTGCGCGTGTGAGTGAGGACTGCTTCTGTCAGAGTCCAGTCCCCGACTTTGGCCTTCCACAGCATGGTGTGACAATCATTCCCTCCTGTTCGGGACCATGACAGCATCGAGCATAAAGCCCCTGTTCCCTGCAGGTGGAGGTGTGGGGTCCCGCCCCGTCCTGCCACTGGCCCTTCTTCCTGGCGGGTAGCCCCGGTCGCGTGGCCTCTGGACCAGAGGCTGGGGTCCCCCTGTGAGGGCGGGAAGCATGAGGGCTGACCCCTGCACCCCATGGGATAGCTCGTTTTTTTGGACCGGGTAGAATATTTTTTCAGGCACCAATCCCTTTCCTGACCTGGGCCCTGTGGGTGGTCCGCTGTCCTGCGGGGGGCGGGGGGGGGGGTGGGGGGGAAGGTCTGCTTGATCTGAACTTAGGGTAGGGAGGGGTAAGTGCTGCGTCCTCTCCTGGTGCATTCCCACCACAGCTTGGGTTGGGTTTCATTTTGGACAGGGACTGAGGACCCCCACCCTACAATGGGAGAGTGCCCAGGCTCCCTGTCCCAAGACCCTGAAAGGTCCTGCGTCCCACTGTTTGCTGCAGGAGGTTTGTGGTACCTGCGTGTGTTCCAGAACCTTTCTGTCTCCCCTTTAGGGGGCTGGGGGTTTGGATGGCGTCGGTGTGGACCAGACCCGGCCTGGCAGGATCCAGGGATGGGTGCTGGGGGTCCTGGGGAGGAGGCCAGGGAAGCCCTTTTGGAGCTGGACTGGGAAGGGTCGTCTTGCCCGGTCTCTGGGTGGATCCCTGCTGGGCTGGTCCATCTGTACCCTAAACCCTCCTCTCTAGCAGTGTTGGTGAGATGCCTTAGTCTGTGGGGCAGGCTGGGGTCCCATTTTCCCCTGTGTCTATGGACATCCTCTTGGTTGTCCCACCCCTGGCTGGTGCCTCCCCACAGAAGGTGGGCTGTGGGTCTGAGGGCCCGGGAAGCCGGGGACTCATCCCTGGCCCCTGTCCAGTGTCCAGGGGCCTGGAGAGACCTGTGGCCCTCCTCCCCCAAGGAGCTGGAGGTCACTGGGACCTGGTTCCAGCCACTTAGCTGTGGCATCTCAAGGGGGGAGGGCCCCCCAGGGACTTGTGCTTTCAGGGGGCGCCCCCCTTCCCCTGTCCTGCCTGGCCTCTTCCTTGTATTTAATTAAACAAACCCTTTTTTAACCCCGACTCTTGTGCCCGTGTGGTTTTTCCCACCCCTGGCCTTCAGCCGGCCAGCTGAGCGCCTGTGTCCCCCAGCCTCCCGCTGGGGACCCTGGAAAGCCCACTGGCTGGGACACGAGATAACGCTCCCTAAGGCCTGGGGCGGGGGCCGCTGCCCCGCCTCACCCCCGCGTCGCGCGGCTGCGCCCCCCTCCTTCCCGCTCCGTTACCCGGCAACCGAGGCGCGGTGACATGGCGCCCGGGGGCGCCCAGCGCCCGCCCCTTTCCGGCTCCGGGAGCTGGGGGAGCCCCTGCCCGTGGGGCTGCTGGTGGGCGTGACAGCGCTGGTCCCGAGAGGGTCCCCGGACCCCGCTGCTTCCACCGCCGTCGGTGCCGCGCCCGGCTCGCGCGCCCGGAGGGTCTGCTCACGTATCGCACGCCTGCCGTCCGCCCGCTCCGGATTGGAGGGCACAGGGCTGGGGAGCCTCTTGGGGAGGAGGACTCAGCGGCCCCGGGAAGCTGATGAGGGTCGTGCAGCCCTTTCCTGGGGAATAGACGCCCAGATCCCCGCGGTCTGCAGGGCCCCGAGGGCGGGTGTGGCTCCGGCGGGGGCGCGCAGACCCTCCCCAGGGCCTTCCCTGAGTCCTTCCCGGGAAGGCGAAGGCCTCGCCATCTGGTGGCCGTTCCTGGCATTGCCCCGGGGTCCTGGCCCTGCGGCGGCGCTGGACAGGGGTCCCTCGCCCTTCCTCAAGGACGGCCTCCCTGTTGCATCCCCCTAAACCCCTGCTTCGCGTTGTCCCCTTTTTACTGGCTTCTGTCCCGCAGGCCCGCAGGCATTGCTCCTTGGACCCCGGTCCCACTGCCCCCCTTCTACTCCACCTGGCTTTTCTGCCCCTTTGGGCAGAGTCCCTGGAACTCGGGGTCCACACACGCAGCCCCTCCTGCCTCTCTTGGGACACCATCCCATGTGCTCTGCACAGCTCAAAGATGTCCCCTGCGGCCTTCTGGACGCTTCCTGGTCATGTGGCCTCGGGGATCCCTGACCCCCTTGGATATCCTCCACTCTGGGCTCAGGCCCCCCTCCTTAAGCTCCTTGTACGCTCACATGCCCTTATGTGCCGACGACACTCCCTGGTCCCACGCCAGTCGGATCTCAACTCCGGACCCTCAAAGTGCCAATTCCCACCGCCAGGCTGCCCAGTCCCACCTCCCCTTCAGGCACCAGCCTCTCCATCTTTCCAGGTGCAAGCCAAAATCCTTGACCTTGAGTGTCTCTAACCACATCCATTCCATCCAGAAACCTCCCTGGAGTTCTAACTTCAAAGCACATCCAACGTGGGCCCACTTCCACCCCATCATTGGCCACCTGGACCGCGGCAGGCCCCTCTACCCTGGTCTCCTTCCTGCCCCCTTCCCCCGCCGACCCCAGTCTGATGTGTCCCCTCTTGGTGGCCATCAGAGGGCGCCCATGAGCACCTGCCTCACGTCCCACTCTCCACTTACAGCCTCTGGGGCTCCTCCCAAGTCTTCACCGGATGTCTCCAGGGCCCTGCACAACCTGCCCCCATCCCCTCCCTGCCCTGCACTCCTCCCTCTCCCCCTTGCCTACCCTGCTGCAGCCGCGTGGACCTCCTCTCTCTTCCTCCAACAGGCCAACCCAGTGCTACCCCCAGGGCCTTTGCACGGGCTGTGATTGCTGCCTGGAATGCCCTTTCCCCGCTTTATCTTCTTCAGAACCGCTCAACTCCCACCGTCCCCAGAGGACTACATGAACCACCTCTTCTCAGATGCACGCCTCGCCCTCACCCAGCACTTGGATCGTGCTGTCTCCTTTCCTTGTGTCGTCTTGTCTGTGTCCCACACCTGGAGCACCACCTCCACCAGGGGGATCTTTCCACTGTTCACTGGTGCTTCTAGCGCTGTGTCTGGCACGTAATGGGCACTTGGTGAATATTTGCTAAATGGAGGTCCAAGGCCCGCCCGTGAGTGCGGATGGAGACTAGGTGAGCTTTACTTCACACACCTTGTCGGGCCACTCTCGGGGGCCCGCCTTTCTGTTCTTGGTGATGACAGGTGTCGACGGATCCCCGTGTGAGGGGCCCGGTGGCTGAGGTGAGGACAGCAGGAGGCTGGGAGGGGGCCATCAGCAGCTGCCGGACCCGGGGTGGCCAGCTGTTCATCCGGCGGCTGTGGTGGGCAGTTGGGAGTGTATCTCCCCATGTTTTAAACATGGGCAACTGACACATTCACATCATTTGAAAAACTCCTACTCAAAACCCTGGGGCTCAAACACACACACGGAAAGCAACCACTTGTGTGTCCAGAGCTGCACAGTGCAGGAGGCACAGACGCCCTCCCACCCACGGCCAGACACGTGAAACCAGCACACGCAATGGACACATGAAACCGACACACGCCTGCACTCAGCTGTAACCAGGAGCGAGGCACCCACGCGCTGCCCCCGGGGATGGAACCCGAGCCCACGACGCACAGGGAGGGAACCAGACACAGGAGGCCACGGGGTGGGGGGGCGTGAGTCCATGTGTGTGACACGCCCAGACTGGGCTCCTCCACGGACAGGAAGGGGGCTCCTGGGGGACGGGGGCCCGGGGAGGGGAAGGATGACTGCTGATGGGCACGGGGTTGGCTTCAGAATATCCTGGAGTTACGTAGAGGTGACGGCTGCGCAGAACAGTGCATGTACAAAAATGCCCCTGAATTTTCACTTCCAAAATAATTATGAATAATTGATAATTATTGATAATATTAAGTAATCAATCACGGGCGCTCTCTGGTGGCGCCTGGGTGGCTCAGTCAGTGGAGCATGTGACTCTTGATCTCAAGGTCATGGGTTCAAGCCCCACCGGGGGTGCAGAGATTACTTAAAAACAAAATCTTAAGAAAATAAAATGATTGGCTCTGTTAATGGGACTTTCCCCTAAATAAAGGAAAAAATCCACCAAGTGGACTAAAACAGAGGGGAGAGCCCACCCGGGCGCCCTGTTGGAGACGCCTCCCATCTGCCCCCGCCTCCATTTCTTGTTTTCATCACTAAAGTCTTACCCCAGGTGGGCGCATGAAATCCAGGTTTGTGCACACACACCCCACCCCCCGAACTGAGGGCACCGTCACTCTTTTGCATTGACCTGCTTTACAGATACGTGTTGCAGATTCTGTGTCCGGCTGGGTTCTGACCCCTAGATCCTCGGGCTGTTCTGCCCCGACACTGACACTGTGGGCGCCCGGGGAGGTGTGGGAGGCTGCGGTGGTGGGACACCCCCAGGAACAGGGGACTGTCAAGGGGAGAAATCCTTCACGGCTTCTGGCCC